GTTTTTAACCTAATGGAACTCATATTTATAGTTATGCCTATGTGTTTTAGCAAAGCATGCTTTTTATGTTTTTCGTTTTCTTGTGCTTTGTTTGCTATTGATACTATTTTATACTTAGCAATAAAGTAATCTTTTCATCTTAATTTTCAAAGGATATAGAATTCTAGATTTAGAAGAAACACACAAAAAGATTTGTTGTTCCAAAGAACCAAGAGTTCAATCTTCTAATCTTATGAATTTCTATTATTACCTTACTGCTATGAATCACTTAGCCATGTCTGAGTAAATTCCTTTGTTAGATTTAGAGTTCAAATAGTTATGAGGGATTAGCCCCAACTATGGAATGTTGAGTTGTGATATTCATTATCCAAATGAACCCTAATGCTTACTCTAGAGTAGCTAACTAGAGTATGATCATGGACTTATTTAACTTGTTAATCATTATCCTGAAATCATTTGGCATAAGCTTAGATCCTCTAGGGATGTGTGAGAGCCGGTCTATGATCTTGGTGAACACAGTTTCGATTCGATCTTATGCTATATCGATCGATACTCCTATAGAGTCATCAATTTACGGCAACCCATATCGTCCAATATCGCTGTCAAAACATCGGTCGATATTGCCGGTAATAAGATCAATGGATGAGTCTAGTTAGCGAGTGCTATTGGATCTGTCTAAGAATCGAAGTTCTTATATATCTTGCAAGCAACTTACTAAAACATTTGTAGCATTATAATCATGATTATCTAAATAGCAACCTTGAATCTAACTACTTTCTTTTATTGTTTTAAATCAAAACCTATTCTCTTGAGCAACTTATCATTGCTCACAACTGCAATTTACTATTTTAAACTAAATCAACCTAGCATAATCACTTAGGATTAAATCTTTTGTGTTCCTCAGTTCCCTGTGGATTTGATCCCTAAGTACTACAACTGAACCTCTTATTTGAGAGATTAATTCACTCCTTAGGGTTAAATATTTGAGTGATATCAAGAAGCAATAGAGAAGGAGATGTTTATTAGATCGAAGGGGGACTACAATGTTTGCTGTATAAAACCTAATTCTAGCCGCCTAGATCTATTCTCTCAATCTCTAAAGTGTCAATCTCTTATTCTAAGGTTTGGGTTCCCCTTTTATAGGTGTAGATGTCGGCTTGCATTAGGTTAAACCCTTTCATATTGGCGAATATGGAAGAATTCCCTTAAGGGAAGAGCTTCCCTTTTATCCAAGGGGTTGGGTTTTGTAGCAGAGGTCTAGCCTGGGGAACCTGGATGCAGGGTCCGGGCCCTGGGTCCCTTCAGACCAGGGGTTAGAGGCCGGTGCCCAGCCCGGAAGCTGGAGGAATCTGGTGCCTGGATATTTTTTCCCAACAGGTCTAGTCTTCCATGGGCGATTAAACTTTATTGAGAGTCTAATCGCCTGTGAGTGAATAGACCTTGTTGAGAATCTAGTAAACAAGGGCTTGTCGCCCATACGTTGTGCGCGTGTAGTCGCCCATGGATAACTAGACCTTGTTGAGAGTCTAGTCGCCCATGGACGAGTAGACGTTGTGTGGGTCTAGTCGCCCTTGGGCGACTAGACCTTCTTGAGAGTCTAGTCTCCCATGTGCGACTGGAGATTGTGCACGTTTAGTCACCCATGGGAAGCTAGACCTTGTTGAGAGTTTAGTCTTCCATCGGCGAGTAGAACTTGTTGAGTGTCTATTCGCTCACGGGCAGCTAGATGTTGTGTGAGTCTTATCACTCATGGGCGACTAGAATTTGTTAAGGGTTTACTCCCACATGGGTGACTAGGCGTTGTGTGCATCTAGTTGTCCACGGGAGACTAGACTTGTTGCAAGTTTAGTCGCCCTAGGCGACTAGACTTGGAGGCAACATGGTGGTTCCTATGGTTGTACGGCTTGTTCCGTTCGTCGGGACGAGATAGAATGGGTGATGAGAAAGACTGATGTGATGGTTTTCTTTCTTACTTGAAAAAGAGACAATGTTTCCGTGGTAATTTTTAGACATTGGTTTCGTTGTGACCATTTTTAACCCTAACAAACAGAAGAATGTTTCGTAAAATTTTTCATTTCTCGCAAAACTTTCCTCAAGAACCTTTTTTCGAGAATTTCATCTTTGGATAGATATTCTTTTATTCTGTGTCTGGGATGATATATACGAATTTTGTTCTTCTATCCTTATGCAAATAGGTTTGGCGTATGACATTTTAGCTTATATTTGCGTAAGGCATAATTTCTTGAAGGATTTTTGCTGTTGATTTTGCCATGAACAAATTTGACTCTAACAAACATAACATTGTTTTGATCATCTGCAAATTTAGAAGATCTTTCCACCATCACTTTTTGACGTCATGGAAAACCTACCTATTCATATATTCTAGAAACTGAACTAGGAGGACCTGTTCAGTATCGTGGATGTATGTTTATAATAATTTCAAAATATTGAAAGCGAAAGCCAAGAACAAGATATTGTGGCCAACTCGATTGTTGAATAATATATCAACGACTAGATAGCTTACTTCTCAGAGAACTAAAATGTTGATCATATACATACGCAATCAAGGTAAACGCTATCATTATTCATCATATTCAATTTTAATGCGTATGAACTTGCTTTTATTCTATATAATATGTATTAATTTTCATAATCCTTTGTGCATGTTAGCAAGATTTGGTGAAGGTGAAGTCCCCATATATCATGTCCCTGGAGTACCTAATATATTTACACATGTAGGTCGTTTAAGTTGGGAAATGTAAAAAATATGGCTTTCCGAGAAAGACTATATATGCGAACATGCATATGTTTTAAGCAATTGTGAATATTTTCAACAATTTGAGAGGTATAATTTGGTAATATAGTTATCATAATCTATTTTGATATACCCAACTATAATTGGTCATTTTATTTTGTGTTTGACTAATATAGGATGTTTGAAGATTGACTTATTGCCAAATACCAAGACCTCTTAGAAAAAAAACTCTCTGCGAAGAGAGCTGGCGAATATCATTTCTTGGTGAATCATTAGTTACGTCTGACTAATACTATAGTCTACCTAAGTGTCTATTATTATATAATATATATATATATATATATATTGATTTATATGTATATATTTTCCTCTGTGGGTAAAAGATATTGCGAATGAACCCTTGAATAAGGCCAAAACATGGCCCATATATTTTCAAGAGGATTTTTCTTTCATACACAAAAGCATGGTGAGGGAAGAAATAAATGTAACTATACTAATTGTGTTAAATGAGTGAGTTACACAAATGCAGCTAATGGAGCTGAATACTACGGGATTTTGATTGATAACATACAATTTGAGTATGAGGGGTCCGTCAATTTAAAAATCCTACTTTTTCAAGTGAAGTGGTATGATCTGTTAATTGATGGAGGCACTCGGCAACAGCCTACCCCGAAAAAACCTAACAGCAGCTTAAGCCCAATTTATTTCTAACCCAAAAATTCACCCCAAGCCCAAAACATTTCTAAGTGTTTTTCAATTTTCTTCTCTCTCGTTTCAAAGAACCCTAATCCTCTTGAGTCACCTCTCTTCTGAATCGCCTTCCTCTCTCAATCCCTCTCTGATTCCTCTCTCAACCCTCTCTGATTCTTCTCTCAATCCCTCTCTGAAACCCTAGCTAAGTCGAAACCCTAATCCTCTCAGTAACCTCTCTCCATCCCTCTCTGAAACCCTATCTAAGTAGACTAATCTCTCTCAATCCATCTCTCAAACTCATCTAATCCTCTCGATTACCTCTCTATGAAACCTTATCTCCATCGACGATGGCTGGAACGAAGCGATGAAGGCAAACCGGAAAGACACCTTCAAGTGGTGTTCTTGCGAGCGGCCGGACCAGTTAGGCAAGTTAGGTGGATTAGGCTGAATTAACTGACCGAGACTGCAAAGGTGAATAGTGAATCTCTTTGCCTATAAGTATGTGGAGTAGTTTTTCCAAACTTTTACTTGTTTTTCTCCACAAGAATCATTCCAAGGTAGAAATCCTTCTCTCATTTCCCTCTCTTTTGTTCTTAATCATGTCTTTTTAGAAAGAGAGCTTCGAGAAATGCCCATCCTTCTTGTTCTGATCTGAGTGTCCTAGACTCAGCCAGCGGTGAAGTCATTCCCAAACCTGAGTTTCTGAAAAATTGTGTTAGTTGCAAGGAGGCTGAGGCGTATTGGGCAGCTATGGCCGTTGCGCCGGCTCCTTCTTGCAATCTGTGGGTTCCTACTAGACCTAGTTTCAAAAGAATCACGGGTTGTCCGAGCAAGAGCTCCCTGAACTCTTTCAAGTACGTACAGCGTATGTGTGAAGTGCCGGATTCGGTGGAGTTTTGTATTCCCTTAAGCGGAGAGAAGGTTAGGTTCCCTCCTGAAGTTTACTTCACATTTTATTTGCTGCACTGCCGTCTATGGTTTCCTATTCTGAGGGTCATAGTCGAGGTCCTAGATCGGTTCAGAGTATCAATATGCCAAATCTATCCACCTGAACTGAAACACCTTATTGGGATTCTGGTGCTGAGCTATGAGTGGGGTATGATTCGATGCTGACTATCTTGACGCTTTGATAATGCCGAAAGGAAAGGATAACATATGTCACGTAGCCCTGAGGAGGATATAGCGATCATCGATGGATTTGCCTCGAATTTTCACAAATGGAAAATTTTATTTTCGTCCGTATTGACAGCGCATTGGTGGAGGAAAGCGGCATCCCCTTCTTTAGGAGTGAATGTGGTTGATGGGGGTATTTTGACCGTGAGTCCATTGATTTGTTTACTCTGAAGATATCTGACCTTGCGCATTTTTTTTTTGTTTTGGAAAAACTAATATTTTACCTCTGCATCCCGAAGATCTTTACGCGGTTAGAGACCTTCGTGGTGGGCCATTCTTTTGGGGATGCTTTTCTCCAAAACGAGTTCATCTCACAGTTGCGTACCACAATTCTCGTGTCCAACTGAACATATCAGTTAAGGAAGATTCGGTACCAAGCATGGAGGAGTTAATGAATTGTGAGGTTCCTGTGGCGAGGGAGAGGTCGAGGTCTCCAAAGGATAAGCACGTTTCTGTGGACACATACCAAGTGTTCGAAGACCTCGTGGACTGTCAGACTAGCGGGGGCGGCACTGATCCGATTGAGTTCGACAAGTTTTTCGACTTTGGGGTGCCTCTGAAAGAGGTTATGCGGAGTGATGTATCGGAGTGTGCGAAGGCATCGAGGTTTTTCAACAAGGTTAGTTGGATCTTTAGACTTTTCCGACTTATCCATTCTAGGTTTCTTACTATTTTGGAAATATATTTTTTGTGCAGGTTCTCCTTGTTATGAACGAGGCTCTAGATGCAAGAAAAACGGAGGCTCGCATGGCTCAGTTTAAGGCTGAGATAGCGGAGAAGGAGACTGCTCATCTAAAGGAAGAGTTACATGCGAGTTCTTCCCTGCCAAGGAGTTAGCTTCCAAGGAAGCTCGTCGTGCTCACCATCGGGAAAGGAGAGAAGTTTCTGAGGCGGTAAATAGCCGTCATGAGCGTTTTGCGACTGAGCTGGTGGGGCTGAAAGACGCCTACAAAGACGTCGGTGACTATCGTAAATGTCGCGGTGTTGTTGGCAGGTAGCGTCTCACCCAATTCCTCAGTTTTTCCTACAAAATCGAAGCGAACAAGCAGACGAAAGGAATGAGCAAGAGGATGAACAAGCAGTCCATGCTTCTTGATATCGAGGCAAGGATCTGGGAGCAGTGGGCTCCAATTCTAGTGTCTCCCGATTTGGTGGAAGTCAGACCAAAGATTCCAGATGGGAATGGCGAGGTGGATCAGCCCGCAGCAAACATCAGTTATGGTTTGTTTGGGAGATCAGCACCCGGATACTACAAGCCCGAGCCGTGAATGATCTTTTTGATATCTGGTGGGAATGTATTCCCCTTTTGTTGTTTATTTATGTAGATTTGGGCCAAGTGTGGCCGTATTTATGTAGTTGGGACTGGCCGCACGTGGCTTCGATTCCCTGCAGTCTAACGACTTATGTATGAACTATGTTTCATTCTATTCGACTAGTTTCAAGAATGGTTTCGGTATTTGTTAACTACAGAGGGAAGAACACTAGTTGTCATCACGCATCTAACTTTTTTTTTTAGATTGCTCTATTTGTTGCTCGTTTGAGATGTTCGAAAATATTTTCAATGTTTCAGAAGCATTTAGATGTGAACGAAGATACATGCCTTTAGGATCTCATATCATGCCTTGAGTTGTTAGAGGCCAGTGTGCTGGGATTAGGGCAAGACCTAGGTTTACTTTCGGTTTGAGGCTTTGTGATGACTAGTCGGCTTTCGTTTGCCTGTTATGATTTCAACCTAAGTCTGTACCAATTTATAGTCCTCGATAGGTTCTCGGCTTATACGAGTCGTCTGGTCGAAGTCGAGCATCTCTCCAGAGACAATTTCTAAGTCAACCGGAAGTGCTGACAAAGTTTTAGATTTCTTTTATAGAGCGCTATTTATCCCAGTCGGATGTATGAGGACCAATTCCTGAGGATAGGTCTAGATGTGTTTACTTAAGATGTCTGGAGTGCTCGGCGGGGCAAATCGACGAGCGTTCATAATTTATAGTCACTGACGAACTAGGAAACTGTTTTTCGAAAGTTTATGCGACGTCTCGCTTATTTTTCGAAAATATGTTTTCTGTGAATGATGTTTCCAAGATCAGGTTCTCGTATTTTGGTCGGAACTCGGGTCTTCTGACACGACCATGATATGTTTAGCATAGATGTTCTAGTTAGCGATGAAGCTTTTTCGACTTATCGAAAACTGTAGTTTTCTCTGTTTTATGGCAAGACATTTTACTTGATAAACATTTTGCTCATATCTGGCTGGTTTTCGAGAAGAGGATTTGTGAGTTTTCAATTTGTCTTTATTGAAAAAGTTTCAAAAATATTGAGTACAAAGCAAATATTTTAGAATGTGGGAATATATGAGTATGCATACTCGTATATGCACCCACTCCCCCCTCCCGTTTTAGAGAGAGGGATAGCTGAACTCGGCTTTCTACGAGCGGCCTACATACCCCTTTAGAGGATCAAGTCATCTCGTAGTTCTGTTTGTTGCGTGAATGTGTTTACTTGGCTGTTGCGTCGATATCGATCGCCTTAGTTGCTGGATCTACATATTCTTCCATACTCTTCTCTAGTTGGGTCAAGGCGTTGGGCTCAGAAGTTTCGGCCGTTGCTGGAGTTGGAGTTTCCAAAGTGTTTTCAGTTGGCGGCTGAGCTAGATTTACCCGTTTGTGTTTTACCATTGCGACGGTCGTAGCTTGCCTTAGCTTGTGTTCAGCCAAGAAGTAGAGTCGTGACTGTTCCTAAGATCCCCATATCGCTGTGATTCCGAAAGGAGTTGGAAAATTGATGCCGGTGATATGTCAATGGGACCACTTTCATGGCAATTATCCAAGGCGTACCCATGATCACGTTGTAGATAGCCGGGTGTTCAACGACCGCGAAATCGACGATCTTAGTTATTTCTTTTGCTGCGACCGGTAGCTTGATCGATCCAAGAGCCATTAATGTTTCGCCTGAGAAACTAGTTAACGGTTTCGGAAATGGTATGACTTGTATGAGTTTGATGTCCATCCTTCTGAGGGTGTTTCCAAAGATCAGTTGACCGTGCTTCTGGTGTCGATGAGGACTCGAGCAACATCAATATCTCTTATTACGGGATCAATGATGAGGGGGTCGAAATGGGGCTTATGGAGTCTAGTAGTCTATTCTTCTTCGAAGGTGATTGCATTGCTCGGGATGTTGCGTGGTCCCGTTGGTTAGTTTGCACCCGTGTCGGTTTTCTGCATGTAGGATTTGATCGACGATAATCATGTTAACTTTGTGACGATTATTCTCGTTTCTCCACTCGTCTTGTTTTCTTCTGCATTTCTCTTCAAACTAATTTCTCTGAGGAGAGTTCTCTGGGTGAGGAGATTTGTCGGTCCTTGCAGGGTAATCGGACTCGTGGATCAGATCCTTCACGCTGGACACTTCCGAGAATTCTCCTGCAAGCAACTTTGCGCCAGCCTCGCCGCAAAGAAATTTGCAGGTGATGGACGAATGGCCTTGGGTCTGGTGGAAATCGCATAAAGTATTCTCGTGGTAGTTCGAGTTTCTGGTCCAGGTGTTCCCTGAGGTTCCCCCTTGTTCCGATCTAGATTTGAAGGCACAGTTATGTGCGCCCTAGAGGTATTCCGTAGATTTATGGAGCGCGTCATGGATCGTGCGCGGATTTTCGAGGGTTATCCACTTCTAAACTTCGATCTTTACTAGAGCCCTTTTCTGAGTGCGTCGATAGCCGCCTTGTCGCTTATTCTACTAACTCTTGCTATGACGAGCATGAACCTGCCCATGAAGTCACGGAGAGTTTCTCCTTCCTTTTGGGACAGGCTATAAAGGTCGACATCGGTAGTTCCTCCATGTATGAACATAGAGTAATGCTTAAGGAACTCCGAAGCGAGTTGGCGAAAACTTCAGATATTTCTCTTGAGCCGAGAGAACCACTCGAGAGCCGGTACTTCTAGGTTTTCGGAAAAGTGGCAGCAATAGCCGAGAGAACCACTCGAGAGCCGGTCCTCTTGTTCTGCGCAGAAGAGATTTTCTTCTTCTTCGGTCATGGGATGGTAGGGAGACGAGTCATTCCGAGTACTGCGACTCTTTCTTCTCCTTGGGTGAACATCAGTGTCGTCCTCCGAAGGATCAGAGTGATCGCTGATATCCAGATCGACCTATTCAACGCCGTCGTCCTTGACTTCCTGATTTTGAGGAGGAAGGTTTTCCAAATCCTTTTGCGCCGCACTAGGGTTAGCGTCGTCGGGAGGCTGTTCTGACAAGTTTCCTTGCGTGTTGACGGTTCTGTCCAAGGGAGTTGCAAAGTCAAGTCTTCTCCCGCAAAGCTTTGTAGCTCCGCGAGGAAGGATAGTTTTGGTTCTCGCGGTGAGGGTTTTGACCTGTTTAGCGAGAGAGCCTATAAGCTTTTCTTGTTCTTCCGACTTCTTTTTTAAGGTGGTGAACATCTCTTGGAACGCTGCGGTGTTGGCGTCGGCGTTAACCGCGGATACGTTCCCTGCTGGAGTGTTGGTAATGTTGTCGTGGATTCTTTCATCGACACGAGTTTGTTATTCTTTTGTTGCCATGTCTGATCAAGCGTTCTGCGGCTGAGAGTTAGATTGATCTGTACCCCTCTCCTCCTTCTAGCGCCAAACTATGGGTACGGAAATTCGCACTGTCGATTTCCGTTGAATTAGGGAAGTTTGGAAAATCCTCATTTTCCAGAGGTCCCGGAGATCTAAACAACCACACGTCAAGAAATCAGAAACACGAGATAAACAAAAGAAAAATATAAGAAATCGAAAGGAGAGCAAAAGAGATCGTATTCCGAGTCTACGTAAGAGCGTTACAACAAGGTAAGAGCCTTGGTCGCAAGAGCTGTTGGCAAAATTCCTTAGATCTAACAACTTAAGACTACAAAATCCCTAGCTGAGTTTCAACTCGATAACAAAAATTGAAAATTGCTTATTTCTCTAAGTGCTAAGTTCTTCTGTGTGTAAAAGAGTCCCTTTATTTCTTGCATCGACTTCCTCTTATATACTCTTCTTGTATTAGGTTTAGACATTCCTTTTTTGCCACAAGTCGAGTTTATCTCTTTTTCAGAAATCTTCCATTTTTCTCGATCTTCATGATTATCCTTAGAAGACTTCAATTTATATTCGAGACTTGACATTTATCTCCTACCGCAGACAATAAGCAAACCGTCATGATATCTTTGGACTGGACTCCATTTTAAAATCATAAGTTGGCTTTTACTGATTTAGACTGTTTTACGATTTTAAGCGTTTTTACAATTTTTAAAGTAATCGTCTTTGATATGACGCTGTTTTTCATGATTTAGTTCAAGTTACTCGTACAGTATACGCAGCCTTGGTGTTACTTTGACCGTGCCGTTTTATACGATTAACATAAACTCAAACGAGAAAACAAGTCTTTGCAATTTTAGTCGTAAATTTCCAACGGCCACTCCGATCGAGATGAAACGAGAGACGGTTCGACTACGGTTCCAAGTACAATCAAGCCAGAGGGTCTTGGTGTCATGTCTTACTCGCCATTTGGAGATTTAGACGGCTTGTTCCAACTCTCCTGGTGGCGAGTTGGACGTTGTGTTCAACTCGCCACCGGGCAAGTTGGACAGCTTAGTTCAACTCGCCCGGTGGCGATCTGGACGTTGCGTCCTACTGGCCACCGTCCGAGTTGGACAGTGCGGTCCAACTCGCCCAGTGGAAAGTTGGACGTTGCATGTCCAACTGCTTGTTATAGTGATCAGTGTTTTGATTGTTTGATCTTTGAGTTCGGAAGCACTTGTTCGAGGAGCGAGGGATCCTTTCGATGCATACTTCCTCTCTTTTTAAATTGTAAGAGGTCTTTTTTAATTTTTTCATACTTCGTTACGAGTCTTTCGTAACTTCACATTCGTGTATAGTTTTTCAATAATTTCTCTGGAGACTTTTGTCGTTGATTCCAATGTAACCGATTACTCATATCGGTTCTTTTCGGGGTTTTGGGTCAATCCGGGCTGGTTCTTTTTGGTTATGGTTGTTTCAGGTAGAAAAAATTTGGATCTAATATATAGTTATAAATTTTCAATTTAATTTTAGATTGGGTATGTTCTAAGCGATTCCTATTCGGGTTTTTGGGTCTGGGTAAAATGCAGGCCTACTAATTATCATCAAACTCTAATCTAAAAGTAAACTAGATTTTAACCTGGGCTTTTCAAGCGCGGAATAATTTTTTGATGAAAATTTTATATAATCGTATTTGTCTATATTTAAAGTAGGTTTAAGTATAAAATTTGTAATCCAAAGTAA